AATATGGCACATTGTAACTAACGTACACGAATAATCTGATGCAGTGCAGTATTAGCTTAAAAAAAAAACCACAAATCAACCAACATATTTGAGTTCAATGCTTTTAAACTGTACTTTATTACTCCAAAACAGCCTATCACACTAGGTGAGAGAGACGTACTGAAAAGAAGCCACAATCTTATCTCCTAGTTGAACAAAAAAACCTCCAAAACATAAAACCAACCCCCCCTCAAAAAAACCCCTTCTACTGTAATATTCACTTCATATTTTTAAAAAAGTGAAGAGCAAGGGTGTGATTTTCAGATCTTTCACTTTGAACACAAATAGCCAGAGCTTTGGAAAGCCGCTCGTTTCCAATTGGCTAAAGGCAGCCGAGTATCAGCTCTCTGGGCTAGTTAGATTATACCTTTTCATTAATGTTGCAATAACAGTCACAATAGAATCAACATCCATCTCACACAATGCCAGCACTTGCACTACACTGGCTACTTCATGAGCAGTGAAGTCACTGGGAGGTCTGCACTCTCACAGGAGAAACATCTGCTTTAAGCATAACTATCTTTTGCAAAAGATGCTTGTTTTATAGCAATAGCTGAGCTTTAACAATGTGCTTGTTTTGTGACAGTAAAAATATTCACCCCAATTGATTCTTGTAGTATCACCTATTTTTCCTTTGAAAAACTTTAGAATACCCCTACATAACTAGTGCAATCTCTTACATCACACCAAAATACCCCTTTGCACCCTTTTATGCTGCACTATTAGCTCACCAACAAATCCTGCTTCAGAACATCTTGACATCAAGCATGTCATAATACTTTGCATGTATAGAAACTTTTTAATATGAACATCTCAAGGCATTTCACATTAATCCTCAAAACACTCTTCTGCAGTGGGTAAGTACCATCCCCATTTTAACAGATGACAAAACTAAGGCCCAAAGACCAAAAGTGAACCTTTTCAAATTTGTGTGCCTAAAGTGAGATGCTTAAAATGAACTGTCTGAATAAAACGAGCCTGACTGTCAGGCACCAAGTAGACAAGTTCCCATGAGGGGAAGAGGAGGGGCACAAAGTCAATAGAAGCTGCACATTGGAAGTTTAAATTACTTATTAGGGTCACTATTGTGGATGCAAGTACCCACCCGTTAGGCACAGAAGCTTGAAAATGCTGCCTTAGGTCACATGCCTAAAGACATAACTTGGCATTAGAGCCCAGAATAGAACTGAGGAATCTCGATTCCTTGTGCTCTAGCAGATAAGAGTAGCCCACACTTTTTTTTTTTAAATATATAAAGACAACAGTAATGGGAAAATAAATGAGCCCTAGCGTGCCCAAGGCTAACAGCACACAGCAAGTAGTAGAACAGCTGAGACTTGAGGGGCACATAAAATTGAAATGCTGGTTTTCAAGACTGGAGGAATTTTTTTGCATTAAAGTTTTGTATTGAAAGTGATGAGCCTTTCTGAGCAGAGCAGGATATAATAATTATAATCTTATAGTCTGGAATAGTTTGACAAAGCCTTTTCCACAAGTAATACGTGTTGCCTCTATCCTTTACAGGCCTTCGGACTTTTCGGTTAAAAGACTGAAAGTAAATTTGGGCCCTAAAGATACTGCGCTCTCCCCTCTGGAAGTCCTGAGAGAGAATTTCCTCTTGCTCACTACATTAACTCTATCTCAGCCAAGGCAAGTTAAGCAGATGCTCTTCATGTACTGGTTGATCTCTTAAGCTACGAGGCTCACTGTCTCTGCCCCTGAGCTGCGCTACTGAGAGTCCTCAGTGTTGGATTCACCACAAAGCCTCCTCTCAAATAATTTCTTTTACTAAGGAACAAAACATCCCATGCCTTCACCAAGACTCAAGACGGTGCATAGTCCAGTACTTGTGGAAAAGGCTTTGTCAAACTACATGACAATCACTTGCCTGCAGTTTTCAGAGACTTGGTGGACAGCACAACATTCACAGGCCCCTGAAGATTCCCTACTGTTTGGTAAATGTGAAGCACTGATCTGTCTGCACTGTGCAAAGAGAACCTCTTAATAAGCTTTCCTTTACTCATCTTCACATGGGATTGAAAACATTTTGGCTTCTACTGAAAACTGGAAAACTGTTGGGAAGCGATTTAGGCCTACAAACCAAACCATTTTCATACCACACCCACTATTAACCTGTTTTTGAAAAATATATAGAATATGACTTATGCTGTTGCAAACTGGCATTAAGCTCTGTTCATTCCCCTTCATATCTCAGAAGTAGCTCTCCGAGTGCAGATTAAGTCACAGAGGAAGCATTCAGATCCTAGGGAACAGAGGCTTTGCTACCAAGTCTCCAGTTTAGGAGCCGTGCCAACAGGCCTCCAAGTTGCAGGACCATCAGGTAACAAGCTACAGAATCACATCAGAACAGACCTAATGTCTAGTTTGTGGGTTTAAAATTAAAAATTGGTTGGTATTTTAGCCCCCTGCTGGCAGACAAATATTTTATACTTAAAAACAAGTCAAAGCCATCCACTGAACTGTTAGAATAATGTGAATTAAAAAACCTGAAGCTCTTATGCAGAGAAGCTTTCCAAGGCCTTTTTTAATTTTTATCATCAGGATCTTTTCAGTAAGGTGCTTTCCAAAACAAGCTATTTTGACCGTGTAAGGCTGTTACAGCTTTGAAAACAGCTATTTTCTAGTCACATTAAAATAAAATTGTTACAAACAGGCACTTTTGGGCTCGCTCAACATAAACTAAAAATAAGAGGGGTATTAGATATAAAGGAATTAAGATTAGCTGACAGTTTAAGTGTAATAGCATGTTGTAAAAGGCTTCTAGCACAACATGACGGAAGACAGACATTCATAAAACCATTGCAGCCAATTCATTCTTAAAACGGGATTATGGACAGGTTCCCCCTATTTTTGCACAGAGGAGCTTTCATAAACTGGCCTAAACCCCCCTTAGAAGGCCTGGTTTCCTTAACAAAATGTGCAACTCCCTTTCTGTTGACAGGAATTCCACATGCAGGTTGTGACAAAGCATTATTGTACTTTCTTACAAGGTTAAGATGGCAACTTTGAAAGCATTTTTGCACTCCCTGCCCATCTTTCATTGTTCTCCCCTCAGGGAAGAAGAAACAGAAAACAAGATGTAACTGGAAGTTTTTGGCCTGAATTTGGTTAGAGCTCAGGAAGGTATGATTAAGGAGACCTCACCCACTGTTTTCAGAGGCCAACACAAGGCCAAATGTGTTTTTTGGATTAACAGAGAGAGATTTCAGCAAAGAACAAAATCCTGGCAATAATGCCAGCGAAGTTTAAAGAATGAGATGGAAGGTTTCATAGTTGTTAGGGGATGGAAGGGACCTTACAGATCATTGAGTCCAGGTTTTCAGAAGTCTAGCAGGGGAAGATAAGAATAGAGCTTTTAAAGCCAAAAACGAACAATTTTCAGAGACCCACATGAGAACTGAGGTAGGAAATTAAAACTGAAATATTATGAAAGGAAATGAACTATTCTAGCTCAAAAAGAACTATTTCTCCAGGCTTCCATGCACCTCTTGATACAAATATTTATCTACAACAGGAAGCCATTCCAAATGTACAGGACTGTATAGGCTGGCTCGGCAGTCCAAAATAGGCATAAACTGGGGAAGAAAAATATTTGCTTACTATGATTGCTGATTCCTTAAAATTAACCAGAAAGTAGGACATTGATCCTCTACACATAATTAAAGCATTACCACACAAAGGCACATCCAGTAGTAGTTTATCCTTTCCTAATACTTACAGTTCTCTAGAAGTGAGCAATAGTGCTATCACAGGATGGGAAAAACATCATCCCTTCATCTTTTTTCTAAAACACAGGAACACACACACACACACACACACACACACACACAAAACCAGGTAGTAAAATCATCTTGTTCCAACATCAGGCATAGGAAAACACACATGCAATGATCAACTCTCAGGGTCATCAGTGAAGTTGCAAAAGTTGTCAACAAGGATCTGGCTTTATCTATTTTATCTTTTATGCATTAGGAATCCGATATAAATTACTTGAGTAGCATAGAGCCATAAGATCTTCCTGAAGAACTAGAACAGTGACAAAGAAAGCATTTTCCAGATACAGTGAAGCAAGGAAGTAGCAAGAGTAGTCTGTGAAAGTAGTTCAATAGTCTTTCACAAAAGTCTTGGGTTTCAACTCCACTCTACCACTACCTCAGATTTTATGTTGCCTTGACAAGACGAGCACAAGAGGCAAAATTGTGCATAGCTGCAAGAAGCCTTTATTTCTGGTTGCCTCCAATGATTCAATGAAATATAAGCTCCTCCCTTTTCATCCAGGAACAAGGCACAGGGAAACAGGAGTTTGGAATCCAAATAGTGTAAAAATTAACATGCCCAGAGCACTCAACTTGCTTATTCTACTTTCCATGTTTTGTGAGCGCCCTACTTACAAGCTGAATGCTCAATGATTTGTTTCTTCTCTCAACCTCCGCCCCCCAAAAAAGAAAAAAGTCAGCTAAAAAAAAATATCAAAAAACTATTACAACTGAAATGCCAATATTTCTATAAATGCATCCCAAGTTCCTATTTCAAAAACACTGAACTCAAGCCCATGAGATATTGTAATGCTTCAGTCTGTTGCAATTAACCTAGCTTCTGGAAACTGTTTCTTTTTGTACAACAGTTCATCTCCCTCCTTCTCCAATTAACTGGACAACAGTAATTCTTTTCCCTTCATGACAGCCGAACGGTGTAGTATAATGCACACAAAACCCAGAGCAAGGGTTTCCTAGCTTCTACTTTCAGACCAGCTACTGACTCTTACATTACCTTGGATAAGCCCTTCATCTTTGTTTCCCCACCCATAAAGTGAGGATCATACTTACCACAGATGGTTTGAGGACTAAAGTTTGTACAGTGCTGTGGAAATAAAAAGCCGCAAGTGCCAAGTATTACCACTGTATAGAAGCATAAAAGAAAAAACTGATTATTTTAAACAAGAAGTTTATTTAAACAACAAGACGCTTTACTTGAAGGGAAAACTATCTAGGATCATTTTTTTCTCCTTTTAAGAGTAATTTATCCCTACTTAGACAGATTGCTCTACGTGTAACAGCTACGTACAAAAAAGTTATAAAATCGTCCTTGGTTTTACAATGATAAAAGAAAAACATTGAAATTATCCAATCAAACAAGGTATGCAAGGTTTTGTTTTTAAACAGTGAGAGCAAAATAACTTACTGGAATATAAAGATAAAAGTTGAAGGAGCATGCCACTAATGGAGAAAAGGGGCATTTTCACAGACCCAGTTTGTTTTTCCCACCTCATCTCCATTCCATGTTGATCAAAACATACTATTGGGCATTTAGTTAAAAAAAATATGCATTATGTCTGTGCACATACACCAGTTACTTTATGTACAATAGAAGAAATAGGGGGGAAAAAAATCAAAGAGAAAAAGAGAGAAACTATACTGCAGTAGTCAGGATGTGGCTGAACCAAGTCTCGTTTTCTAATTGTGAATGTGTCATCTGTGGGAGCACAGTTCCGGAGAGGAAAGAAGCAGGTTCTCTTTTTAGTAAACTCCTCCTGTCTGCTGCTGGAACACATCAATTGTATCTTCATCCTCCATTTCCAACTGTAACAGAAAAAAGAAAGACTGCTTTCAACTCAATTAAGTTTATTAGATGCTGAAGACATCCTTCATTTTAGATCCACCTACCAGAGCAGAACCCAAGCTTTGGGTGTTTTAGTCTGCTTCACTGGAACATGAAGTGTAAATAATGAAGCATGGTAGATAATTACTACTGTAGTAGCAAGTCAGGAGTGCTGATTTTTATGTTCTGAAATCTTGCTGCCTGCTTTAAAACAGACCACCCTATTCTTCCCTCTTCATTTTCTTGGCTGTCCTTAAAAAGCTGCTACCACCCATACTATGATTGTTCAAGTGAACAGGATCTAAGTGGCTTCAGCAAAAGGACTAAGGGAAGCAGACCAGGATTAAGATTTCTATATCCCTAGAGTAACAAAAATCAACCACCAGCTACTAAGTACAAAAAAGGCTGAAAGACTGGCAGTTTTTAAGTATGTTGCATAATTAGCCATAAAACAAGGAGCATCACAATTCTGAGCTACAGACAATATTACTGAAGCAATTTGTTCCATCATACAATTCTTACTGTAGATCGGGGTAGGCAACCCCTGGAACAGGTGCCAGAGTGTGGCACGCGAAGGCATTTTGCTTGGCATGAGCACCACAAGGGAGATGGTGGGGAAGGGGCTGGGGCTTTGCTGCCACAACAAGGATTGGGCCCCTCACAGCCTCACCCCTGGCACACCCCTTACAAGTTGAAGTTGTGGGTGTTTTTGGCACTCTGCCCAAAAACATTGCTGACCCCTGCTGTAGACAGACACCCAACTGATGATTTAGCCTCAATATGGCTTTTTCCATGTGTGCTATGAGCTGCACGTAATCTTAAATCCCAATAGTCAGGTTCAACCAAAGGTCCAAATGCAACAGCTAAAGGAGGTATAATTCTTCAAACCAGCTGACTGACCCTTTGACAACACTGACAAAATTGTTCAAGCCCCTCATTTATCATGGGATGGTGTTCTGAAAGCATAAAAACTTTGCACTGGAACTGCACACTGGTCAGTCACTCATGCCAACTACACAGCCCACTATAGAAAGACATCCTTGACAATCACCACTAGTTACTGCCGCAATTAACCTGCATCCTGATGTTTTAACCAATTTCCATGCACCGCAATGTTAAACCTTCAGGTCAATTCAACCTGGAGAACATCCAGTGATTTTTTTATACCAGAGACACTAGAAATAAACCTAGAGATACTAGAAAATCTTCAGATTTCATTGTCCAGCATTACAAGTAGAACCTGTGCTAGCATCAACTGGCAGATCAACATGCATAGCTATCAAATGTAAAAGGCAAGTGAATGTAAATGCTATTACTGGACAACTCCAACACTTCTCTGTCAGGATCGTGAAACCATGACAGTCTATAATGCACAGAACTCCCTCACAAGGCTCAATCTCAGCTGTAGTTGTACACTGTTACCTTACTTTGCTCTGAGGTGGTAAAAGTTCAGTAGCATTAAGTGCCATTCCAAACAAATCTGAACTAGTTCCTGAGTAAATCTTAGGTTATGGACAGTGATCAAGCTCTATCACTCAAGTATTCAGCTAGACAAATGCTTCTGTTAAACAGATATACTAGTTCCTGAGCTAAGCTTTAAATGCAATTTTTACCTGTGCCGGTGTGTCTGTTTCATTAATTGGCTGCCCATCAAACCGGAATCTGATTTGCCTCATTGACAAACCCTGGATAAGAAAGAACACAAAAGCAAAATAAATGTCATGTTAAAACACTCCTCAGAATTCATTCTAGTGTGTAACTGGAACTGCATCTCGACTCAGAATAGAAAACCAATCATCCACAGTTCATACCAGAGTTTTCTTACTTTTCTCATGCACCAGTTTTGGAGCTACCAGACCAAATGCTGTGATTTAGTGATAGGTTGTGTGTTACAAGTTGTAATTTAGTTGTTAGAACATAAAACAGTGTCCCTGCTGACAAAAGGCCCACAAAGCCTATCTGAAGGCCAGAAGTCAGCCTTAATTTTTTCACAAGAATATTTAATATTCAATAATACAGTTAAAAAAAAGTTAGAACTAGCACTTTGTGTATCAGGTGTCATCATCAGAACAGCAACAACCCTACCCACAAAAAGGAAACACGGCTTCCTAGTTTTCCCAAAAAGTTGATATTGGCCTATTAGTCCAAAGCAATTCAAGAAGTAACCATTAATCCTAAAAGGTAACTTCTTGAACACACAGGTAACAACTCACTAGCTTGCAGTTAGGTTTCAAAAGAGTCAATGGAACCATCTCGCTTCAGAGGAAATCTTCCAAATAAAATATATTACAAGCAGAGTAAAAAAAAATAATTCAAATTCCTATCCGTCACATTTTGCCGATTCTCCCACTTCCAAAAATGTTATCGGACCAAGTGAGAAAGAACAGCAGTTAAAATGCCTAGCTAATTAGTCATAGTTCTGTGCATTAACATAAGCTTGAAGTTTGTAAACATTACTTCAGAGGCACTTTAGCTCTGACCTCTCAGCTCTTCTACTGGCTTTCTAAAGAGAAGGAAAGATTAAGGATGAGAACATACAGCATAGTAACTGCGTTTACCACAACCTTAGTCTATCGTAAGGAGCAGGTAAGTCTAGCCCTTCCAAGCTCCTGCCTGGAGTTCTTGCAAATACTATGATAAACCTTGACCACTAGGTGGCAGAGGAGCCAATTTTCATTGAGCAAAGAGCTACAGAGGTTGATGCCAACCATGGGAGCAGACATACAACAGGTACCACCGTAGAGTCACTCCTCATTTTCCGAGGTAACTACATCCCAAAATGAAGCAATTTACACCTATACAAAGCTGTGCATCATGTCTCTGCCGTTTGCTCTGCAGTAAATGTGCTGTGTCCACATCCTAAGCAATTTGCCCAGGATAGTTAGTGGCAGAACTAAGACCAGAACTCCTGCCTCAATTCCAAGCTCTATCTTTTGCCTAGCTTGGGAATGTACAGCAAGTATTTTTTTAATTTTTCAATTACACATTGTGTGTAGTGGACCACGCTGAACAGCAAAATCCTTACTTTGCCACATAAACAAGAAACAAAATTGTAGTGTCATGAATAGGTCCAGTTGTCAGGAACGAAGTTTTAGTGAGAATATTTAAGTGAATAAAAACTTACGGTTCATAGCAAAACAAAATCTCACCAGTAAGGCCAAAACAAAATAAGTTCTGGCACGTTCGCCCATGACACTGTCTTAGTATAAGGCAAGCATGTAGGTGACTAAGCAGTGCAGAGGCAACACGACCCACTTCTGCACAGCAAAATTTGTTTCAAGCACAAGTGCTTAAAGGCTGAACGTTGTAGAGACAACTTGTTCAGCTCTGGGGATGTCAATCTCTTTAGGAAGAGACTTCCTGTTGCCAGGTTACTGAAGAGGGGTATTTGAAAGGAAGAATTAAACAGATGGAGAAAACCGGAGATTTCATCAAAAAGAGTATATACTGTTTCTCTAACAGCATGCATCTTACATTATATATTCTAAAAAGGGTTATTTTGCAGAGATTCCTGGCAATTGTGCATGCATCTCAAAATGGATCCTGATTGGCATTCACTGAAGTGCTTTTCCAACCTCAGGAAGACATGGATCTTAATGCATGTAGTTCAGTACACTAAAAACAAGTTTCAGTAACGCAAAATCATCTCCCACCTTGATCGTCAGAACTTTAAACTAAACTCTTTCTTCACGTCATATTTATATCATGCACAACCTTCCACTCTACACCACTTAAGTTTACATTTCTCTCAAAAGCTTGTTTAGCTAGAGTTTAACCAGGGTCTACCTTGTACATATCAGAAGAGTCTGATTTTTAGAGGTGCTGAACACTCACTGTACCCAATGAGGTCAAAAGGAAGCTGTGGATTTTAAGTATATTGAGGTATACTTTCACAATATAATTAATATTTGGTGCCTAACCAGTTAACAGCCCAGTTCAAAAACATGGCCTTTGTCATGTGGGCGTTTGCTTCTTAATTTAGCAACACTTTGAATGCTGGCTTATTTAAAACTTGGTTTCTGCTAATTGCAAGAGGTGTCTAAACCTTGCTACTCATGGATTTTCATGGGTTAAACAGTCTTGCACCAGTTTTATTTTTAAAGTATTTAAACAACACAAACACAGCAAACATGTTATGTTGACTAACCTGAGTGTCCATGATACTTTCCATTTATATCACATCACCTTTCATCCAAGAATCTCACAACATTTTTCAAACAGTTCATTAATCTTCACAAAATCCCATGAAGATGGTGTTCGTGTTTACACTTGGGAAACCCGAGGGTCAAGTGACTTACCTAAGCTAACGCGAGTCTGAGAGCGAGCTGCAGAAAAGGAATCCAGAGCTTCACAAACGTTCTCTTGTCTATTCCCATCACACTTCTCAGAATGACTGAACTCTTAGGTTAGGTCTGGACTAGACATGGTTTTTGAATAAGAACCCCAATTTGTGGTCCATGTGCAATTTCTACTCAACTGGAACCAGCATAACCCAAAACATGACTGCAATGATATCCAAATGAAGATCCCTTGTACTAGTCTGGCCTACCCTTTTTCTGGAGTGCTTAACAACACTGGTATAACTGTGCCCATGCAGGGATGGGAAGGATTATACCAGTTTAACCTGGTAAGAGACAAGCCCTTAAATTCATTTAATACACTTAAAAAATTCCTGTTGAAGAAGAGCTTTTAAAAAATAGACATCCATGAGAAAGTTCTGGGCAGCATCACCAAAAAAAAAAAAGTTTTTCCCTCAACTGCTGCTGCAAAAAGTGTTATCACGACGCTTTTTCTGCAACCATTATGTTCAAACTCCCTTCTTTTAATATCTTTAAAGGCAGGTTAGGTACAGTTGCTCACATGCTATCAAAATGCTTCCCGCTTTCTTTTTGTGAACTGGAAGGGGCTGATCAGGACAACTAATCCCTTGGAAATAAACCAAACCTTATCACAAAATGTGCATGTTCCTTCCCAAGCCCATCATCATCACAGCTTCAAAAAATCCAAAGTAGTCCATTTTCAGCTGGTTGCTTCTTTATCTTGCTCAAGCCAGCAACACCAAGCTAATAGTCAGATGTCTTTCAAATTCAGACCCAGAACAAAAAAAAAAACAACAAAAAAAAATCCTTATTGGTATACAACTACCGATCGTATTTTCTATTGGTCCCTGGCCCACCTTCTCCAGACTGATTTTGGGGTAGAAGCATCAACAGCCCTCGGACTAACCAGAGCTGCAAAGATAACAACTAAAACCTACACCCCTGCAACTAATCTTTATGTCACTCACTTCCTGCTCTACCCTTCCCTGCCCCCTACTTTGTAACAGACCCTCCAAACAAGGCATCCCTCGAACCTGATGAGAGGTGTTAAAAAAAAATACGCAAGATTTTGATGAAAAAATATTTACACTGTGGTAAGACTTTACTGTCCTCATCCATCTTATGCAGATGACCCTTCCAACAGACATTGCTTCTTCTAGCGTTCATGCAAGAACCATACCTGTCGTTCACAATAGGCTTTCATTAGTTTACTAAGTGGTGTATGCCTCTTAATCTTAAACTGCACCACAGACCCATCTTGCCCTGCCACCTTCAGATTAATGTGGTCGTTGTTTTCGGTCTTCACGCCTTCCTGTCGA